CATTGGGCGGTCGGTCGGGCGGGCCCTTACAGCGGAGAACCTGGGGGGCGGCGATTGCGACATGGTAAAGTCGCGCTCTTGGGCGGAGCTGCAGCTGGCGCACACGGCGCATGGGTGGGTCGCAACACCCTTTCGTCGTTGTCAGTTCGTGGGGCCCCCCGCGTGGCGGCCTTGACGGTGCTTACAGGGTTGGAGATGTGGGATCCCTGAAACCAGTTCAGTCCCTTGTGGACTGGGGCGGGAGCCTAGTGTTCCTGTGCGCTATTCCCGGGGACCAGTGGCATAGGGTCTCTCCCGGCGAGTACACCGGGTGTCCCCCTCTCCAAAGGAGAGGGGGAAATACGCCGGAGAGCCGAGCTGTCAAGGTTGGTGGGATAAACTACCAATGGAGTGCAAATCTTCAGACGTAGTTGAGGAGGGCGAAGTCATCGGTGGTCACTACGTCATCGGTGGTCTCTGGGACTATAGGGTCACCTATGGTCCCGAGTGAGGCTGTAATGCCACTTGCAGCCTCGTGGGAGGGTAGGAGAAATGAGGACGCGCCGACCATCAGCCGCCTCATGAAGAGACCGACATGGTGAACGGAAGTGCGGAAAGGGGGGGGTGGGACAGTCCAGGGCTGCTATCTCCTCTGTGCGCTCCCGTAGCGTCAAGGAGCGCCGTGAGGCGAGGGCTAATTCTCGCTCGAGTTCGCGCGATCTTGGCGCGGAAGAGGAGAGACGAGGATGTCGGGAAGGACCGCGGTCCACAGTCGGCCCCTCTGGAAAGGTCAGCGGCTCAACATCGCCGCCGCCTCCTATCACCCGGTCGTCAACACCAGATCGGGTGAGCCGTCCGCCGGCTCGGTTGGATTCTATTGTGGATTTGACTGAGGTCGGGCAAGTGGAGACGGTTAGGGAGGAGGCCATGTACCTGTCCAGGCCCTGAGTTTGAGGGGGGGGAGGAGTGTTCGACCGCGTCGGAGGCCGACGGGTCCGCAACGACGGCGGAGACCGAGGTCCCCGCCCCCATCAAGCAAATATTCCCGCGGAAGGATGGCCGAGGGCGGCTGCCAAAACACCCCACTCATTTGGAGATGTTTACGGCGGGCGCCCTTGCCCATAAGGCCCGGCACAAAGAGGAGAAGGACGCGCTAGTGAGGGGTGACGAAGTCTGTGACCCTTCAGTGAAGCCGTCCAGCGCCCGGGCTCTCAGAGCCGACGAGGAGAAGCGAAAGATCATCCGCGGCCGCCATGAGAGCCAAACGGCGGAAATCTCGTCTATGGCCCTCAGGGCTATAGACGGGATAAAGAAGGTCGCGGAACAGTCCGGCAGGGAACCTTCCGCGGCGCTTTGTGGGAAGCTGCAGCCAAACTAACGGCCTGCAGCCTCACATTGGTGAAAAGAGTCGACAATATCGGCGGCTCAGAATCCTGCGAGGAGTTGAGGAGGAAACAGACGGCACTGGTTGTCGAAATGGGGCGTCTTAGAGACGAGAATGCTCTGTTGAGACACCAGCAGAGCCGCCTGCGCGAGGAATTGAGGGAGGACACACCATCCGTTCCCCTCTCTGAATCCAGAGACTCCTCGCTGGATAGAAAGAGAAAGAGGGTGAGTGGAGATAGAGGGTCCTCCTCCTCCTCCTCGGACTCCACTATTCCAGCTGGAATGAAGAGCAGGAGGGCGGGGGGGCGGCGAAGGGGGCTACGACTAGGTCCCTTGTGCCTGCCACCCCCTCTGCCTCCTCGGGTGAGGAGCCTATGGAGTGCGTGGAGTTAGAGGGGGGAGGGTGGCTGAATAGCCCCCTCTGCTTACAGAGGTGGAAAAGGACAAGGCCAGGCGGTGCAGGGAGGAGGTACGAAGGGACTTGGCGGAGGGGATCCTTCCCTCCGTAGTCTTGCCCTCCCTGTGCGCACGCAACAACGCGCAACGCCTGGGCTCCTCTGGCGTAACACAGCGCCAAAGGAGAGGAGGGCGGCTGAGGCGTCGGCGGGGAATGGTGCCGCCGACGCCGCAGCCGCGCAAGGAAAAGCCAGCCGACTTACAGTCGGCGGGACAAGAAAGGGCCCGGGTCGATGTGCAGCGTCCGGGTCGGATGGAGGCCGCGGGGGTGGGAAGAAGGTCCCAACCTGTAGTTCCGGAGTGGGGGCGGCCCATGGGGGGTCTAAGGAACATAGAAACTTTGGTTACGGCCTTGGTTCCCTGGATCCTAGAGGCCATGGGCATGATGCCCCCTCCGCTTTTGGAGCGGCGGGTTCCCCCTCGAGATTGAGATCGGGTTACCTCCGCGTGCCCAGGTAGTGGAGCTCAGGTTGGGGAGGGGGGGATCTCGGGACGCCGCGGTCCGCCTCGCGCCCCGGGACTTCCTCTCCTTCTTCTGTTCCTGATGAAACTGGTGGGTCAGGAGGGGCGAGGGAGGGGAAAAAAGAGGAAAAGAATGAAGAAAAGGAGAGTGGGTGCGCGGGACGACGAGCAGATGTAAATCGTCCCGTGTACATGTGGTGTAGGGGACCCCTCTCCCTGGACCGGACTGCGACGCAGTCCGTGAGAGATCCCAATCTCCCCCTCCCGCCGCCAGATCCGAAACTTGAGCCCGGGTGATTGGGAGGAAAGAAAAACAAAAGGAAAAAGGAGTGGGGGGTAAGCAGGCTTCCCAACCTGCCCTCCCCAAAAAACGCGGCCTCAACAATGTGCCGCGGCCAAGGGTGGCAGAAGAAAGGAAACGAAAGGCCTCCCAGACCGGGGGGGAACCCACCCTTCCCAAGGTCCCTCGCGCCGCCGTGCTCTCGGTGAGCTGCCCAGCGGGCAGCTACGTCTAGGTGATGCGGCGGGCGAGGGAAAATATTTACTTGGGGGACATCGGGATCGGGAAGATTCGATAGAGGAGGGTAGCCACCGGTGCCCTCCTCCTCGATATCCTCGGTCTCGAAGGGCACGCGAGGGCTGATGCTCTTGCGGAAAAAATGTCGGTCCTCTTCGCCGACAAGGGGGACGTGAAGATCACGTGTCCCTCGAAGAGGACCGACATCCGAATCCGCGACCTGGACGACGCGGCCGCCGTGAAGGACGTAGTCTCCGCGGTGGCGGTCGCCAGAGGTTGCGGACTCAGAGAAGTCAGGATCGGTCTATTCGGCTCGGGGCAGACCGCATGGGGACGCTGTGGGTGCAGTGTCCCCTTGTGACCACCCGCAAGGTGATGGACGGAGGACGCCTCAGAGTGGGGCCACGACAAGGCGCCCTCTCCAGTGCTTCAGATGCCTGGAGTAAGGCCACGTCAGGGTCTCCTGCAAGAGCAAGGCCGACCGCTCACTGTTACCACTGTGGGTCGGCCAGCCACAGGGACGCGGCGTGCAATGTACCGGTATCTTGTCCGGTCTGTCCTGACGCCGGCCGGCCCTGTGGCCACAGGGTAGGGGGCCCCGCTTGCCAAGGAGCTAAAAGGAGCAAGGGGGTGAAGGAGGGAGGAGGAGTCGAAAGATCTCTATTGCATCTCTCCCCCTCCCCTCGAGGAAGTGAATGGGCCTCTGCTCCCAATAACGAAAGGGGAGGTCCCGCAATCAGAGATCCCGGTCTCTCCGGCGGACCTTGCTCCCGCGGAGGGCCGGGGCGAAGAAAAGGACCGCTTTGCGGCAGAAGGGAGCCCCATGTTGGCCCCCCCCCAGAAAAAAGCAGGGGAGGGCCTGGAGGAGATTAATGGAAAGCCGTAATGGCGACCCATCTCCTTCAGGCGAATCTGAACCGCTCTTGCGGAGCGCAGGACCTGTTCACGCAGGTCCTTTGCGAGAGCGGTTCAGGTTTGGGAATCGCGGCCGAGCCCCATTCCGTCCCTGGAAGTCACTCGTGTATAATGAGGACGTTGTGGGGCGGCGTGGGTGTTTGGTCGCGTTCCACTGGAGAGGGGATGAAGCCTCTCCCCCCTTCCTGTTATAGGCAGGGAGAGGGCTATGTCGCGGTCGAGTGGGGGGCCTTTGATGTAATCGGGGTTTACGCCCCGTCCTCGTGGGACCTCGCCCAGTTCGAGCACCTTCTGGGCTGGCTGGGGGACCTCATGACGAGGCGCCCCCAAAGGCCAGTCCTGATGGCCGGGGACTTCAACGCCAAATCGGCGTTGTGGGGGTCCTCGGCCAGATGCGACAGAGGCGAGGTCATGGAGGAATGAATCGCGTCTCACGGCCTCTGTATCATCAACAGAGGTCGAAGGAGCAACTTCGTCGGGCCGCAGGGGGAATCGGTGATAGATATCACCTTGGCGTCTCCCCAGGCGGCTCGACTAATACAAGATTGGTAGGTGGTAACCAGTGGGGAAAACCTAACGGACCATAGATATATTATGGTCATATATATATATATATATATATATATATATATATATATATATATATATATCCGGCTAGTCGCCACCCTGGAGGAAGTGCTCCATAGGCGCGGCCAGGGAGGTGCCCGATCACGAAGATGGGCCCTTCAAAAGCTCGACCGCGATAAGCTTACTGGCGGCCACATGAGTGGAGCCGGGTCCTACACCTAGGACACGGTCAGCCATTGAAAATAAAGCGGCAGGGATCCAGGGCATGATTACGTGTGACGCCGCCATGCCCCGATCCCGGCCGCACCCCCGCCGGTCCGTGTACTGGTGGTCGACGGAGATTGCCGAACTTCGGCGCTTCGCCGGCTGTGCCGGCCAGGAGAGATATGGACCGGCGGGGGAGAGATGAGGAAGGCAGAGTGGCCGCCGAGGGGATCTACCGCAAAAAGCGGGGGACCCTCAAGGCGATCATCACTGTGGCCAAGGCCCGTGCCTTGGATGACCTGGTCTCCACCATCGACAGGGACCCGTGGGGGCGCCCGTATCACATAGTGATGCAGCGCCTGCGCCATTGGGCACCCCCACCGACAATGTCCCTGGACCCCTTCCTTGATGAGGTCGTGGGGGCCCTCTTCCCATGGGGGGAAGCTTGCATTCCCCCTACAAGAGCCCCCTTTCAGACGGGAAGAAAGAGGGAGTCGGGGCGACGATTGTGGAGATGGATAGGACCATCAGGAAGCTCGGCGCCAGGAAAAGAGCGCCGAACCCTGACGGTATCCCAGGCACAATTTGGGCCTTGGCAATGAGAGTTGGGGAAATGAAGAGTCGCATGATGCCGTTCTTCACCTCCTGTCTGAAGACCGGGATGTTCTCCAGCCCCTGGAAGAGGGCCAACTTGGTCCTCTTCAGGAAGGGGGGCAAGGCGGGGGATAGCCCTTCCGCT